AGAGAGAGAGAGAGAGAGAGAGAGAGAGAGAGAGAGAGAGAGAGAGAGGAGAAAAGCACCTCCACCTCCTTTTTTGAGATCGGTGATGCCTCACTTTCTGGAGGAGCTGTACAGCAATTGCAAGGGATACCAGGCCCGTTTACTGGCTTCTATCATACAAAAAAAAAAAAAGAACATGGCCGGAAATAGGAGTTTTTTTTTTTGAACCCCCCCCTCCCTCCCTCCCTCCCTCTCCTTTCTAGCGCGCTTTGACTGCCGTTTGCTCTTGACAAATCAAAGCACAATTTTTTGATACGCTGGTGGGCAGTGTTGGTCAATCACAAGGCTAATTAGTACTTAGTAGTTACTTCTTTTGTTTTGAAGTTACCAATGACTACCGTCTTCACCCCAATAGAGCGCCCGATAAATATCTCTGTATCTGGACGGAAAGTTGGACCAAATACAGCTATAATGATCGGGCGTTTTATTTGGGTGAAGACGGTAGTCGTTACTAATTAGTAATTAGTAATTTGTTGTAGGCGAAATCAAGGGGCTAACCTCATGCCGTTATTGTCATGCTGCCTTGTGTGTGTATATATATATATATATATATGTGTGTGTTTGATGCAGAGATGTTCCTATGGGAGATTGCACCTCGATTTGAGGAGCTGCTAGAGAACACCAATATTCTGTTTGTAAGAGGCACAGTTTCCTCTGTATCGCCATCAGATGGGCCCGACCAGATTGACGATGGAGTAGGGGATTGGGGTGCAAGACCTAAAGAGGAAGGTGGTCGTGTTCTGCTGACTGATGGAATGGAGATTGCTTATGATTGGTGAGCAAAGGTCATCCATCCTTCTTACCCTAGTTTCACCTCTATTTTGGACCAAGGAGGGAAGGGGAAGGGGGGGGGGGGGGGCGCCACGGGGAGGGGGTTTGTCTGGACTAAACAAAGCCTTGTGAGCATGGCTCCAAAGAAACACTTCTCTAGGTTGCAATTTGGATTGCGAATAGCATAGGTTTGGAACTTGGAACCATCAAAGGTTTGAACCAAGGTTGGAACCACAAAGGTTGGAGCCATCATACAGAGGTTGGGAACTTGGAACCATCATACATAGGTTGGAACAATAAGTTGGAACCAGCATACATAGGTTGGAACAATAAGTTGGAACCAGCATATGTAGGTTGGAACAATAAGTTGGAACCAGCATACATAGGTTGGAACAATGGGTTGGAACAATAGGTTGGAACCATCATACATAGGTTGGAATGACAGGTTGGAACCATCATACATAGGTTGGAACCATCATACATAGGTTGGAACCAGCATACATAGGTTGGAACAATAGGCTGGGACCATCATACATAGGTTGGAACCATTAAACATAGGTTGGAAAGATAGGTTGGAACCAGCATACATAGGTTGGAGCAATAAGTTGGAACCAGCTTACATAGGTTGGAACCAGCATACATAGGTTGGAACGTTGGAACCATCACACATAACCCTTTGGGCATTTAACTCTGACGTTCTGGCCGCACTTTCCGGCATTTCTTGAACCGAAATCGTCAGGACTTACCGGGTTCCCTAGAGAAGTGGTTAACAGAGCCCTAAATTTTCAGGGTTTTTTCATGGTCTTTGTAACAAACCTCCTGCACCTTTTTCAAAGAACAAACAAAGCTATATTCTTCTTTCAATTTCACCTTTCACTAGCTGCCTACCACCATTCCTAATCCTAGCAAACCGGCATTCTGCTAGGATTGCAAGGCTGGTGTGAGTAAAGTCAACCACTTTTCTCTCTCAGGGGTATTGCGAACTCTGGGCGACGCAGTGAGTCCTTTTATCCATCAGTCAAATGCATCCTGGGCAGACTGTCGGGGTTCAACCTTGTGATGAGTCGGTGAAAGTCCGACAAAACACTCTGGCACAGTCATGCTTTTATTTGAGTGTATAGCGAATATGACAACACGCTGCTGTAGCTCAGTGAAAGTCCAACGAAACAGTCTGGCACTGTCATGGTTTTTTGAGTGTATAGGAATTATGACAACACACTGTTGTAGCTGCAGAAGCTGCTGCAGCAGCGTCTGCAGCTACAGCAGAGTGTGTGTGGGTGTGTGTTATCTTCTTCTTTCTTCTTTGTTTGCTAAACTTGTTTGTGTTTTTTTCTAACTTTTTTTTGGGTTTTCTTTTCAGAACCGGACTGCTGCAATTGTTGCAGCTGCTGCAGAGGATTTAAAAATGGCCTCCTCCTCCCGGCAGGCAGCGAATACCTCGAACCTCCGATGTCGTACTGCCCGCTGGACTTTGACAAGTGCAGGCCCTTCAGGACCGGTCCAGTTGGCCCGACGGTCCAAAAAAAACTACGGCAACAATTTTTTTTTGGGGTTCCCCAGGCATGGGAAAATCTCCTGGGACCCCCCAAAAAAGTTTGAAATTTCTTCAAAATGGGGTTCAACGGAACTTCAACACCCTCCAAACCGGACAGTGACCCAGACACCAGACCCGGACATCAGACCCGGACTGTCTGGATTGGATTCCGGATGTCCTGTTAACAACCATGGTAAAAGCAAAGCGAGGAATTAGGCCCTTGGCGAGGAAAGAGGAAGGAGGGGGGGGTGGGGGGAGGGTGGAGGGGGGCAAGGGGCACATCAAAAGTTGAAAATGGGAGGCATCATAGGCACAAAGCTAGGCTAGTCTGCTT